CCCCAAAACCCCAAAACCCCAAAACCCCAAAGCTCAGTTTTAGGGTTGAAATTTCAATAAGATTTAACTCTTGTAAACCCTGAAATCACATGATCAGTGACATAAGGAACCTGGATGTCCTACAGATTATTTTATCCTTTAAATTATTCTATACTGAATGACTTGTTTGGCAAGAATTGTTAAGAGTCCTTAAATTTCCTCTTCTGCAACATTTAATATCTAATTTAAAAAGTGGTTTATTAGCTTGAGTGGATGATCGTTCATCTTTTGAATGTTTAGAGAAAGTGGGCGTTATTTTAGGTAAAGGGGTTGAGAATTTTTGTAGGGCTAAATTTGGAATTAAAGAGGAGGCTGATTGGTCTTTGGATTAGTATTAGAATTGAGTTTATAAGTGTGTAGCTAGTTTATGGGGGATTTTGATTAATATACCTAATTTTTCAGTAATCTTGAGTATAAGGGGCAAGGAAAGATGATTAGAAAATAGAATTTGAAGCCAATTTTTTTATTTTAGCATTTAATAATCAGAATAAGCTTATATTAATTCAGAAACTTCAATAGAACCTCTAATTCAGTGCATTCAGTACAATTTATCCCTCTAAAATCTGAAGAACCACCATACCCAAATCACTCCCACCACTCCCCAAATCCCTATCTCTATTCCCCCAACTAAAACCTCTCTCCAAACCCCAACACCCCTTCCCTCTTTTCACCCCTCTTCCCAACCCCCACCCCCAACCCCCAACCCCAAAATTCCTCTTTCTCCCACACAAATCTCTAAACCTCAGTCTTAAGCCAAGTAAAATTTCACCATGAGTACGAAATTAATCAAATTTAGAGAAGAGATAAGAATTTTGAAAATTTAGGTGCAGAGGAGGGGTTTTGAGGGTAGAGTAGGGTAGGTGGGTGGATGGTTGGGAGGTTGAGAGGGATGATTAGTTGGGAGATTTTGGGAGTTTGTTGGAGGTGGATGGGAATAGAGGAATGGAGAAGTTTTGGGGAGAGGGGATTTTAGAGGATATAGGTGGGTGTTTCTGATTGGTGGGTTGGTTTGAAAGAGGATTTAGAAGGATTTTAATTTTTCTTAGTGTCTTGGAGAAATAAATAATACACATGTTCATGATATTTACTGGCTTTCGCTGTGTATTTAGGAATTGGAATATGAATTTATTGCTAATAATTATCTTTTAAAAGTTTAATGGAAGAATTAAAATATTTGATTAAAAAAATATTGTTAACCTTATATTTAAACAATTTATATGATTAAAGATAGGATCATAGTCCCTCCTAAAATTAAAGAGGTATAAATCAAAATTAAAAAGCCAATTTCTTCTTCATTTTCCACCATCGATCTTAAATATTTTAAGGTTTAATCATTAATCTTAAGAGAAGTCTTCATTATTTCTCTCTAAAAATCACAGTAAAACTCGCATACCTTAATATAGCTATACAGCCTCAACTAATTAATCTCATGACTGAAGACTCATCGACTAAAAATCTTTACATTGGCCATTATTCAGGGTTCTGATCATCAAAGAATTATTTACCAAAGCCATCTCAAGTTCTAAAATATAGGTGATACTTCTGTTCTTCTCTAAAAGAGTAGTCTTGACGACTCTGCTTGCTAATTTAAGCAGTTCAAGCCTGAGATATTACTAAGGAGACCATGAAGGATGTTAATATTAACATCCTTCATGACCCTCCTCTTTAATATTTGAGAGTAACAAAAGAGACTGGTCAGGCTTAAAAGAAGCAAACAACCTAAATTCTTATCCTTCTATATGACTATTGTAATGCAACCTGCTTTAAGGCTATCTTATTAGCAAAATCTAACTACCAAGAAGCTTAAAAGGCACCACATAAATTTGTACTGTACATTTTATGATTTTTGTTGTTATCTCTGTTTTTGGTGATAAAATATTAAAAAACTCAATCAAAATCCTCTCAGTCAATAAATCCAGGCTACTGAGAAGAAAGGAAACAAGTGTATGGTGTGCTCTGATAGTTTATATACTTTCGATACTTGAAATAGCTTTTTCACCTTAATAATAGTTCATTCAAAGATGTAAAACTATCGTAGTAAATTTTATAGGTTTACTCTTTAAATTTTTGAAGAACTAAAATAATTTTCACAACAAGGAGAATTGAAAAAGTCCTCTGATTTATCTCAGCGAATACATAAACAGCAGAAGAACTGCCAAATTCGGGAGTGCATTATTAATTTAAGTTGAACAACTGGGTAAAACCTCATGGCTCATCCATAAAATTGTGGAGATAAGCCGAATCTCACTTAAAATGGTATAAATAACAATTAATTAAGAGTGATATTAAAATTACTGATTAACTCCGAAAAAATTAAAATATCTGGAAGATGTCTAAGCCTACCTCCTCAGTAGTCAAATGTCGGTGATATGGATTAAAGAGGTATTCTTAGGGGTGTCTGTCTAAAGATCCAGGGGTTTTTGCTCATCTGCAACAAACTGAAAGAAAATTTTGATTAATATCAAAAGCAAGAAATAATTTCCTATTAAAGAACTCTTTGTAAGCTATAGGCTAATGAACAGCCTTGAGGGGATCTTAACCATTTGGGGATACTTAAAAATTAAAGATTAATTCTCTAATAATTTTAAAAATGGATCCCAACTTTTGGCTTACAGATAAACTCTACTCATCACCTATCGCTGAATTCTTTGATAATGGCAAAATTCTAGAACAAATCGATAAAATTGGAAGAAGAGTGAAGGAGAGGCTGAACTTCATAGATACTTGGCCCACCCTCCCTTTAAAAGTTTAGAAACCAATGGCATCCCAAAAGACGACATTGAGAGAAGGTAAGAATACGGCAAACCTGGTAGTCATATTTTTATACTTCCTTATCTTTTCCTGTTGAAAACCATAACCAAGGTTTTAGAGATGCAATAAACAAAGGCCACCCTAACTGTGAAGAAGAATCTTTACAGTTTGAGCCTATTGGACATCCTCTTCAAGAATCCTTGGCTGATATGAAGTTAGAACAAGAGGAGGAGAAGAGTGATACGACTTACCCTCCAGAGATCAAGAAAAGAAAATAGTCGAGCTGATGCTATTGATATTAAGCCAGGACTATTAGAGCTGAGAAAGCAGATTCTTGATAATAAGAATAAAAGTACTACTGAGTTCACTAGATCAACTAAAAAGACAAGGTTTGCTTCAAAGACAACTCACGGAAGAAGGTCCAAGTACATTGGAGTCTCCAAAAATAACATTCACTGGCAGGCATTGATCAATGTGGACCGTAAGAAAAAGTACATTGGCACTTTCATTGATGAAGTAGAGGCGGCTAGGGCCTATGACATTTACTCTTTAGCTATCAAAGGCAAGGAAGCATGCCTGAACTTTGACTATACTGTTCAAGAGATGCTTGAAAACATTGAGTATTATCTCACCCATAATTGCTTAAAACCCTAATTTGCCCCTATGTTCATTTTAATCAGAGAGTACATTCCAAGTAGTCATTATTACTATTAAATAGGCTCATCAATAATTTTTAAGGGACTTGGGGTTTTGGGGTTTTGGGGTTTTGGGGTTTTGGGG